TATGTTGCACCTGAGGTATATCTGTTCCCTTGCCTTCCTTGAACAGAGCACATTTGCACCCTATTGCACGGCAGAAAATAAAGCTTCTAATGGTGGACTTCATTTTTTTAGGTTCTCAATGATAAAGGTTATGATGGTACAGCCTCAGATATATGGTCTTGTGGTGTAATACTATTTGTCCTTATGGCTGGATACTTGCCCTTTGATGAGCCAAATCTCGTAACTTTATACAAGAAGGTAACTGTTGTATCATAAGAGCAACATTTCCTTCTTCCAAGTAATGTATCACATCATCTTAATCCACCTACACTGCAGATCTCTAAGGCAGAATTTTTATTTCCAGCCTGGTTTTCTTCTGGTGCAAAGAAATTAATTACACGTATTCTAGACCCAAATCCTCATACTGTAAGTACTGATTATGTTAATTTTATTTACTTTTACATTTTATAAATGCAGAATCTTTTAGTGACCACATAAAAGATTGCAAATCTTTTTTGTTGCTTGCAAGTAAATTCTAAGTTGTATTTATTTGTTTTCTCTTTTTGGTACAGAGAATTACAATTTCAAATATTTTAGCAGATGAATGGTTCAAGAAAGGATATAAGCCACCATATTTTGAACATGGCGAAGATGTGAGCCTTGATGATATTGATGCTGTCTTCAATAATTCAGAGGTAATTGCTAAAAAGTTCAGTAGCTTTAGTTTGCTATCAAATACTAAAAATGTTCCCAGTATGTACACCAGAATAGCACTAAACATCAACGTACACATGCACATGTTTAACTAAAGGTTTTCCTGGACATAAAATTTGGTTGCAGCATTTTGGGCCCGTTTGGTAATTCTGTGTTTGTTTGTGATCCCAAACAGTGGAAGTCATAATAGTTTCTCACACTAACTCCATTCGTTTTGTTGTTTTACCATTTGCAGGAACATCTTGTAACAGAAAAGAAAGAGAAGCCAGAATCAATGAATGCATTTGAACTTATTTCCCGATCACAAGGTTTCAACCTGGGAAATTTGTTTGAAAAGCAGCTGGTACATTCTTATGGCCTTATTATTTGTCGTGTAATTATTGGAACACTTTCTGTTCTAGTTTTTGTTGTCAATGCTGATTATCCCTTTAAGAAGCTGATTATAACTGTAGGTACTGCGATGAGCACTTATTGTGAATTTCGAAATGCTGCTGATGAAAGCAGCAAACAAATAAATTAAATGCTGTCTAGAAATCGGGAAAGAAGCATAAGTATTTTTGGAAAAAAAGAAAATACACATTTTTTTGACAATGGCTTTCGGTTGCTTCTTCTAGTGGTTCTCACCAAAAATAGATCTAGATGAGCTAATTGTTTCAGTGTCTTCCTTCCAATGGAAATGAAGAGATTTGCTTGGTTTACGTGTAAGGTTTGATTAGCTTTTGAGTTGTTGTCTCCAACTATCATGCTTTTGCTACAACCTTGCCTGTCTGTAGGATATATTGTTCTGTGGATGATTGACAAATCAGTTCAGTTCCTTTTTAAAAGACATAACAATATGGCCATTATGATGCCCTTTTTCAGGGTCTTGTCAAAAGGGAAACACGCTTTACTTCTCAGTGCCCTCCAAATGAAATTATGTCTAAGATAGAGGAAGCTGCTAAACCTCTAGGTTTTAATGTGCGCAAACACAATTACAAGGTGAGATGACATATCAGCACACATAATCGAGTTTTATGCATGCAACAGATACCATGAATATATGCAACTTTGTTCAGAGCTTAACATATTTTCACTTTGCTTCTGTTCAGATGAAATTACAAGGTGACAAGTCGGGACGGAAAGGCCACCTATCGGTAGCCACAGAGGTAATAAGATTGAGTTTTCTCTTTGTGAATTTAAGTACCGTTATGCATGCACATGAGGATGCAAAGGTTATATCAGATGGTTGATTTATGTATCTCTGGAACTTCTAGATGTCTTGGAAAACATTATTGTATGCAGTATTTTAGCTTTCCAATTCCTGATAACTTCAATATTTGTGAATTTGAGACTATCAGCTCCATATTTAAAGGTCAAGTTGTGCCTGCAATCATTAATGTTGACATTGTTCCAGCAAAACTAATTCCCTTTTCTATTATTCATTGATTCGAAAATGTTACCTCTTTGGTTAAGTTTGGCACATTGAGATGATGTATGAAATTGGCAGACTTCTTATTCTGAAAGTTTTAGCTAATTAATTGGATCTAGAGTTATTTCATGGACATAACTTGCTTTCTTAGATGATGTTTGCAACAAGCACCTAAAAGAACAATTTTATTGTCCTTTCTGTAATATAATAAGAAATTTGGTATATCTATTGAGATACTGGTAAATCATCTCTCTACTGGATCTTATAATTACTTGTAGGTTTTTGAGGTAGCTCCTTCTCTTCACATGGTTGAGCTTCGTAAAACTGGAGGTGACACACTGGAGTTTCACAAGGCATGTTACACGTGTAGTAGATTATTTTTCTTCTGCTTTCTGAGTTTCCATGTATGCAATATGAAAATGACCAATTTTGTGCAGTTCTACAAGAATTTTTCTTCGGGCCTGAAAGATATTGTCTGGAAGACTGAAACAAACTCTTAGAACTGAGGAGGCTTCAAAGTGGCTTACAGTTTACTTGGTCCTTGTGCGATGAGATCCATCCTCCCAGGAAAATGGATGGCCTTGTCCTCAAGCATAAAGCTGCGGTTGGTAGGTTTCCTGTTTCTTTTGTATCAAAATACAGGGCCTTTCTGATGGCAGAATGTGATAATATTGTCCATATCTTTTATCATGACTGGAATTTTATTTTACTGCTTAAAATTATCAGTTTATAAATCTGATTCTTTAAATTTCCAAAAAAGAAAAAAAAAGAATTGAGGAGACAGGAGGCAGCATTTTTATGCATCATAGGTTACTCAAGATTACAGTCTGTGCTAGCTAAATGTATGAGAAACTCTACATTTTCAGTTCTATCTCAAATGTTGGCAGATGTAGGTCCGTCGCAAAAGAGTTATGGCGGTAACTGATTCCTGAGATTTTTTTTTTGTTCTTGCTCAGCAAACAGCTTTCTTTGCATGGAATACCAAAGATGCTCTTTTCTTCTTGGTTACAGAACCAAAGTATTATAGGGCACCTAAGTTTTCTTCTTCTTCTGCATTTTTTTTTGCATTGTAACCTGGTGGTAAATGGATGGAATTCAGGTTGAGCTTTGTTGGATTCAATTGTCTCAGTTAAATTGATCAATTGATCCTTATGTGATCTTGTTATCACCGAGGATTTTAGTTATTGAATCGAAGTACAATTTATTAGCAGCTTAATCTTGGTTGAATGTTGATCTACGTTAGGTCAAGTCTGCCTACAGGCTTAGATCAACCAAAGCCACTATTATGTTGCTCACCCTTCTCTTTGCAATAAAAATTGGAAAAATGAGGAGGAAAACAAGGATGGAAGAATAGGACAATTGTACAACGCTAAGATGTAAATCTCTGATAATTTTTTTCATTTGGATATCTTTTGCGAAATTCTAATTGTTTGTGCAATTAATTACATCATTTATACGTTTTTAAAAGTCGAGAGACACTATGTTCGAGAAAAGAGGGGAAAAGATTGAAATCGCAGTGCTGGCCAAAGACAGGAAAACACGAGTACACTGGCCCTACCATTGCTCGGCCATTCTACACCTGAAGGAGCCTACTGTCGGACACAGAGCTCAAGATTTCTTTTATGTTGGTCGAAGCAGGCATCATAACTTAGCTTGTCCATTATGATAGATTGGATCCGCTATAATGTAATCAATTAATCTCAGCTGCATACCCCTAATTACACTGGCCGCCGCCGCCGCCGCCGCCGCCATCATGTAGGTCCAGTGCACATAATTTTCCCTATACTTGCTCCTGGTTCATCAGCATTGATATCATAAGTATCTATATTCTCCTACATATCGTGTCATTCCTTTAGATACCTTTGTCACGTCGGTATGGTTCTCAGTATACTTACGTGCATCTAAGATGGATGTCAACTCACAAGCCAGATCAGCCCTGAAGGGTAGCAAGCAGACAAGCAAATTCAGGGGTGACATGGCACTGGGACAGCATCCGCCTCTGCTGCCTTATCATAGTGCAAATGTCATCGGTTAGTGTCCCAAATCGAAGTCCGATATAGGTGTATAGCTTAGCTGTATCATGAGCCACTGATCCAGCAAGGTCGCATCAAGAGCAATGGACAAAGTATATGCATGATGTGTTGACGATGGCTCCACGTCTGCATAAATCTGTGCAATGTGTGAGGTGTTCAAAGACAGGATTTCAACTCGAGAATCCAACTGTTCTTGTCAGGACATCACGAACATGTTGTAGCAGCAAGCGAGCCTGAGTACTTGTCATGCTGCCCTTTCAGGAGCATCTCGCTCTGATACATTGGCTGGCTAGTTGGCACATTTCATCAAGTGCATTCTGAAAAGCTGATTTGTAAGGTAGCATCGCCCATGCGATCAACATTATTAGATTTCGTACACCTCTCCACCAATAATGATTCAAGCAAACCATCATACTCGATTGCAGGTTTTTCTATGCAAAGCTTCTGCTTTAGCCAACGCAATGCATATTTATTCTCTAAGTGAAGCGGCCTTTTTTGACTGCTCTCGAGTAGTTAATTTGGATCAGATAATTCTCTATCTTGTTGTGGCACGTTGTTCATCGTCTACATACTCGCCTTTCAGTGTTCTCCCTGCAGACTTTATTCCTGCACATAAATTAAATCTTCGTGCAGTAAGCGGAATTAGCAATCCGAAGAGGGTATATTTAGAGAAACGTGTAGAAGAGGAGTCCAAGGAACCATCAAACCTTCCCCTCGAGTTGTCCATGGTCTGATCATTTCCCGGTCATTTAAGTACGTGTGCAGACCAAACATGAACCGGACACGTCCGGTATGCCCTGAGCAAATCATCATGTCAACACCACACTTTGAGGAGGGACCATTTTTCCAAATGAGAGGAAGGAATACCATTGAGATGATTAGATCCACAGGGCAGTGACGCAGGGGTGAGAGAAGAGAGGCTGTCCTCCGGCATAAATACCCCCTACACTGCAACGCGTTCATCGGAAGAGATCGCTAGCTACCAGAAGGATGATGAGTACGAGTAGCACGCAGAAGAGGAGAAGCAGCTCCTTCGTGGGCATCCGCTGCGGCTGCAAGGACTCCAAATCGGTGTCGGTGTCTGCGTCGCAGTCGTCGAGCTCCGACATGAAATCCACGACACGGACACTGACGACGCGGAGGGCCAGGGAGCTGTCGTCTGCGGACACCATGACCTTGACCTCCCCCTCCACCTCCTCCTACTGGGAGGAGGAGGCCAAGCTGGGGAGCTCCGCCAGCACGCCGAGCTTCTCTGGTCTCCTGCGCCAGCTCAACGAGCTGGAGCAGGATGTCATGTCGTGGGGACGATGCACTGCCCGACCCACCGATGACAAAGAAGAGGAGAGCAAGAGATGGCATCAGCGGAGCGGCAGCGAAGGAGCTGGAGGACGGAGAGTGGAGGAGAGCGTGGCGGTGGTGAAGGAGACGGAAGACCCGTTGGGGGAGTTCAGGAGATCGATGCTTCAGATGATCGTCGAGAAGGAGATCGTGGACGGCGAGGAGCTACGGGAGCTGCTCCGCCGATTCCTTGCCCTCAACTCACCTCGCCACCATGATACCATCCTCCGAGCATTCGCCGAGATATGGGAAGAAGTATTCACCGGCCACGACAACAACGGCATACTTGCCGCCGTTCGTCGGAACCTCTAACAAGCAGAACCACTGCTCGTCTAATCACTGTTATCCATCATCTCTGTTCTTCGATGAATGATCTTAGTGTTGATTACTTCTTGTTAGTGGTAAATCCACATCTCAGCCACCAAAACTCGAAAGATGAGACTGCCGTATTCCATTAAAGTACGCTAGTGGTCGAGGTGGAGGGAGCGTGGGTGGTCTAACCCCGTGAATTTGGTTGCGAAGAAAGGACACGAGGATTCGTGGGAGTAGCTGTAAATTTTGTTGGTAGCATCAGTGAGCATCCAGTGCGGTACTGCTGCAATGATTTCTGAAAGTAATGTTCTGCTACTGTTCAATCTTGTGACAGTACCGCCTCTGTTTGTCTGCAAGCCCTTTTCTTCTGGTTGGCACTCTGGAATGACGTCTCCATGCATAACTCTGCTGCCTCTGCCTTCCATGTCACTGTCATCATCTTTTTATTTGTTGTGTCTCGGAGAGGAAACTAAAGAGCTATTTGAGCTATGAGTAGTGTTGCATCGTAGCGAAGCCCGGCCTATAATAACTAACCAGAAGAATGAGTAGTGTCTGCGTTTTTCCTCTCCATTCACCTCTCTGTCTCGTCGTCCGAACCGATGAATGGATTAGTCTTTCGATGTATCCACTATTTCGAGCTTCTCGATTATTATTTGCCAAAATAAACATCGTTCTCTCTGTTACATCCACATACAGCCAAAAGAGTTCGTGAGAGTATACCAGTGTAACATAATTGGAAGGATCTGTCACTTTAGATTCAATAGATGTGAATCATCAACAATTAATGTCTGAGAAATCAAATTCATTCCTTTTATCGGTTGTTTTGGTTTGTCTCGTGTAAAGAACTACGTGTATGTTGGCACAGAATTCTGTTTTATTCTTATCGAAACTTTTGATTCCTTAGGTTCAATTTCGAACCTACTTGCTCGTAAGAGAGAATGTCAAAACATATTTTGGGTCCTTTCCTAACCGTTTAAACTGCCAAATTTAATTGAAGAATGTTCGAGCAAGATCTAAACCTGAATCTAAAAGTGGCTCAGCTATCCATCCACTTTGGTACCCAAATCCATCCAGATCGTGTGCACTCACTCGAACGTAACCCAATCCGTTGACTGCAGTAGTACCACCACACAGACAGGCGTTAAGCGAATCGATCCATTCGTTGTTCTTCTGCTGGGTCGAGCCCACTTCTGATCCACCCGTGACTCTCCTTCAGCTGTCCTTCCCTGGCTGTTCCCCCGTCGATGTCTTCCCCTCCCTCCCCACGCTGCTGAAGAACCATTTGAAAACCCATCAAAATCGATTTCTCCGTTTTCACGAACAAGTTTGATGGGTGTAATTTGATCCTCTCTAGATCGAAAGGCGAAGGAGAAGGCCGTAATTTGGTTTCACGTTTCTGGAAAGCAAACGGGCCTCAAGTGACGATGAACCATGGATGGAAAAATCAACGGCCCACATTAATAGCCGGCGGTGTTTACTCCATTTATTAGATGCAGTACATGAGTAGATGGAGCGGAGAAGAGATCTAGAGATCGAGAGAGAGAGAGAGAGAGAGAGAGAGAAACAGAATGCACCACCGGGCCGCGGGCCGATCGCCGTCGGATCCGAATCGGATGGCGGCGGAGCTCCCGCTCGTGGTCTCCCTCAACTGCCTCGAGGACCCGTCCCTGGAGCGGGAGGCCCTCGCCGGCGCTGCCGCCGTGGAGTACGTCGGCCTCCCCGGCCTCTCCAGTGGCCGGATCGAGTCTGCCACCGCCGTCCTCATCCACTCCCTCGCCCTGCTTCCCCGCGCCGCTCAGCGCCGCCTCCGCCCGTGGCAGCTCATCCTCTGCCTCGGCTCTCCGGACCGCGCCGTCGACTCCGCCCTCGCCGCCGACCTCGGCCTACGCCTCGTCCACGTCGACGCCAACCGCGCGGAGGAGGTTGCCGACACCGTCATGGCCCTCTTCCTCGGCCTCCTGCGGCGGACCCACCTCCTCTCCCGCCATTCCTCCTCGTCTTCTGCCGCCTCCGGCTGGCTTGGATCCATCCAGCCACTGTGCCGGGGGATGCGCCGATGCCGCGGCCTCGTTCTTGGGATCATTGGGAGGTCCGCCTCTGCCCGGTGCTTGGCCACTAGGAGCCTGGCCTTCAAGATGAGCGTCCTCTACTTTGATCTCCATCACGAGGTACCAAGACTAATTTTGATTGTCTTGCGATTTAGTAATTAATTCTTTTCTCAATGTCACTTTTCTTATATAAAGCTGTCATTTTGCTAATCTCCCCTAACCGGTGTTAGGATTTCCTTGTGCCCTTTGACGAAATATTTCTTTATCTGACAAAATATTGGTAATATCGCAAAGGATCTAGTTGTCGGTTTTGTTATGCAGGATTCTGGAACGTGTAGTTTATTACCAATACAAACGGAAAAGAGGGCAAATGCCAATAGTTCTTGGAAACAAGTCAGAATAATTGGACGTTCAAGTAGATATTGTTGCTTCTCTATCTAGAAGAAGTCCAGTTTTGAGGGTTCCCTTTCCTTTTTTATGTTTTCATTCCTTTTCTGGGTGTGGTTTTCTTGTTTTGGATTTTAGGTGAAAGAATAGGAAAAGAAGAATCTGGACTGCAGAAATATAAGTTTGGCATTGTTACTGGCGAAAAGAGTACCTCATCAATCTAAGGCATGGGTCATTTGTTCTCTGACTAGGCTTCCTCTGTACCTTTTAACGAGCCTTTTTATGTATCAAAATACATATTTCAAGCTCATGCTAGAATATTATTAATACATTTTATTGCTCTCAATAAGCACGATAAATCAGCTGTAATAAGTGACGATCATCTGCAGTCAAGCTGAGAAATATTTCCCCTGTTTGAAAATAAGCAGAGATATGCCATATTGTTATAAAAGTATCTTGTTTGTGTTTGATTGCACTTGAATTCCAATCTTTGAGATTACATGCCTTTGTGCATTGTTTTCTAGAAAGATTCTGCCATGGTGATCATAAACTAGGATGGCTTCATTAGTATCTTTTGCCTGAGGGAATCGGCTGTTCAAAATGGAACAGATAGCAGGTTCGATAAGGATTATTTTATTTGCTAATTTAACTTGTTACTAGATTGATGTAGCAATTGACCATTGTTTTTAGTTCATTCTATATGTCTCCATTTTCATATTGTAAATTGCTGTATATATATATATATATATATATATATATATATATATATATATATGTGTGTGTGTGTGTGTGTATGTATATGCAAGTTAAACTAGATCCCTCATAGGTAAGATATATGAGCTAAACTACTAGTAATGTTTTTTCCAGTTTGCTGCTAAGAATTGTACGAGGGTTTTGTTTCGGAAATCAGTATCTGGAATCTTTGTCTGAATCTTTAGTTATAAATTTATATAGGTGAATGGAAAATCCAGACGATCTTCAATTGCATTCCCTGCTGCTGCTCGAAGAATGGACACTCTCAATGATCTGTTGGCAGCAAGTGATCTTGTTTCACTTCATTGCTCGCTATCAGATGATACCATGCATATTCTAAATGCAGAATGCTTGCAGCACATAAAGCCAGGTAAATGTGATATTCTTTATGCTTCTCTCATTTCCTCCTGTCATGATGCTGGTTTCTGGGGTTGTTTGCAGATCTCTTCCTTTAATTTAGTAGGAGTAATTTGAATGATATTGTAGCATTTTGTAATATTTTTTATTCAAGGAAAGGGATTTGCTTTCACAGGGGCATTCGTAGTGAACACGGGTAGCAGTCAACTAATAGATGATTGTGCACTAAAGCAGCTCTTGATTGATGGTACTATAGCTGGCTGTGCATTAGATGGTGTTGAAGGGCCACAGTGGATGGAAGCATGGGTATGAACATTACACTTAGGGTATGAATTGTTTTCTCATTTCATGTGGGCATTTAGGTCTGAAGAAATTTTTTGACTTGGTATGAGTACTAAAACAGTATCTTCCAGTGATTATCTTCAGATTTTATTGTACCTACTTAGTATAGCTTCTTGTTTATTATTGAATTCTATTATGCCTTAGAGCTGTTATTATTTAATCGTAAATTTGTTAGCTTACATCAAACCATCTTTCACAATACTCTCCAGATGAGGATGGCTCATTGTATCTTTTTCATAGTAGAGTTTTTAACTTTTCACTCTATGTAATGTTTCTCTCATTTCTTGTTGTGCGGGTTGAGTGCTCAACTGATTGGTTGGTTTGCAACTTCAGAAAAATGTATGATGTCTTGTGCCTGAGGAGTTGATATTTTTGTTCCACTCTTGAACGTTTTTGTTGGTGGCATCTTATATTTACATGATAGGAATTTAAATGCTAGAACATGGCTCCTATGTTGCATGAAAGCTAGTTCAACCATGTGGTATCATTGTCTATTGGCTGATAGGTTAGAATTTTAGGATAAGTGTAAGCACAAATTTGACATGGTATCTTGGTGTTTTGCTGTAAAATTAGGTTCTTTGATGTTAAAAGAAATAGAGCAGACCTTGAGTTGGTGCAACAATCCTGCAATATATATATATATATATATATATATATAGAGAGAGAGAGAGAGAGAGGCAATTATGTGAGCTGAAATGTCAGTGATATTACGGGCGCATTTATAGATTTAGTCACAGAAAAAATTTCAGCTTTCCACAATGTTTTAGAGGAAAGTTGAAAATTATGTAGCAAGATCATAAATTGTAGTATTCTGATTTTGAATAGGTTTTGGTAATTTTTCAAAAAGTTCATTCTTTACTATACTCAGTGGTAAGATTTTTAGTCCAATGCAAGTTCAGGTATCATATTGAGCCGGTAAAAGTAAGTATATTGGGTGCATAGATTTATTGAATACAATAATAAAAACGAATCGTATATATACACACACACACACACACACACACACACACACACACACACACACACACACACACACACACACATATATATATAT